AATGTTATAGAACATTTTTTGCTTAGAATGCATCCCTTTATTGATGATTTCAATTAAAATGAGTGATTTATTTTTCACCCCGAGAAGGGGTGGCAGTCACCCCCAGGGTAAAAGCACATATCGCTACTATGTAACTTTTGTTTCTTACATATAGGTATATCTATTCTCTGTTAAAATTTCACGTCAATCGGTGCGGGTGTCAACAATTCGGAGGTAATACCCTATTTTTATCCTCGCTTACTGGCCTATAAGTACATTGATACAATTTAACAAAGATGTATATTGTTTATAAAAATAAATAAATTTGAACCACATATGCGTTATTAAAATAAAACTAATCATGATAAATCGTAATTTATTCTTGCTTATTTTATATGGATTTTTTTTAATTTTTAAACGTTTGTTTACATCTGATGTCAATACTAAATATATCAATTAACTTCAGAATCCTGCAGTGATTCCCCTAAATGCATATGTTATTTTTTATGTATTTGTTTAGGTCATTCTCTCAGAAGTGGTTATAAATTACAAGGATACATTTAAATAAACTCATACAAAGTTAGAAAAGTTCATTTTAAAACAACAGATGTGTATTTATAGAATGTACACATTTGAAATATGTTAATGGGGCCAACTAGTATCAAGATGAAACAGATACTTTTTAGTTAATATATTATTTTTTTAGTTAAAACTGATACATCTAAATATTTTTAAATTTATACAGGGTTGTTCACCACATACGACACGGAGTATTGTAGCTAAACCATTAGATTTTTACAAATTGTAAGTGTTGGGTTCGTTGAAGGACTATTACAGCTACAATTTAAAAATATTTTTACAAGATACAGAGTGTCCCAAATAAGTAAAAAATATTATAGTTGTGTTTTTTTAAATGGAACACCCTGTATATTATTATATTTTTGGATTCTACGATTGAAATAAAAGTAAATTTGATTAAGGTTTATCACACTTAAATCTTACCGTTTTTGAAATATTTTCAATTTTATGAAATTGCAGTAAAAATTTTAAGGCTTCATTTCTCCAAGGGTATAAAAGTTTTTAATACTAAATATTTACTGAAGATTATTTATTGATCAGATATTGTGTTGCAATAATAGAAATTTTACTACCTTATACAGAGTGTCCAAAATTTTGTATTAAATAATTACTAACTTTAAACAGCAATAACTTGTTTAATTTAAACGGAACACCTTGTATATTTTACGTGAATCATATGCACAATTTAATTGTCTATCAAATTTTATTATACCATTTTTTATCTATCTCTTTAAGTTTTCGTTGAAAATGCATTTTCTTATAATTTAGACCTCATTTATCACTATACCTATGGAATATTGACATTTCAGATTTTTTTAAAGCAACAAATATGTACAAAATGTACAGGTGGTAAATATTGCAAGCCCATTGGTATACAAAAAAACTATTTAAATCTTTGTAAAAAAATATACCAATTAAATATACCACCATTATGTCCGACCAAAAATTAGTTAATTACATACTTTTAAATTGTTTTAATTAATAAAATATTCTAAATAAATATGGACTTGGCTCAGAAATTAATATAATAATAAGTTATTTAAATGAACGTCTCTGTTTTTATAAATAAGCATTCGTCAAAAAATGAAATAACATTTATAAGATGTTTCTTTTTAACACACTGTCTAATACACACCCAAAATTTAGTTTTTTAGTATTTGGAGCAATTATTATTAATCAACGTAAACAGTCAATTAATGTAGTTTGAATACTGGGGTCATATTAACTGGTCCTCTTTAACAAAAGATATTTTTTTTATTTTTTAATGAAATAAGCGAACTATATCGACAATATTAGTATCTGTACTTTTTGAAAATTTGTTACATCTTTAAAAATAATCTAAAATATCAATATTCCATGGGTATATTGATAAATGAGGTCTAAATTATAAGAAAATGCATTTTCAACGAAAACTTGAAGACATGGGTAAAAAATGGTATAATACAATTTGATAGACAATTACATTGTGCATCTGATTCACTTAAAATATATAGGGTGTTCCATTTAAATTAAACAACTTATTGTCGGTTAAAGCTAGTAATTGTTTAATGTAAATTTTTGGACACTCTGTATAAGATAGAAAATTTTTTATTATTGCAACACAATATCTGATCAATAAATAATGTGCAGTAAATATTTAGTATTAAAAACTCTGATACCCTTGGAGAAATGAAGCCTTGAAATTTTTTCTGCAATTTCATAAAATTGAAAATATTTCAACAACGGTAAGATTTAAGTGTGATAAACCTTAATCAAATTTACCTTTATTTCAATCGTAGAATCCAAAAATAGAATACTATACAGAGTGTTCCGTTTAAAAAAATACAACTATAATATTTTTTACTTATTTGGGACACTCTGTATCTTGTAAAAATATTTTTAAATTGTAGCTCCAATAGTCCTTCAACGAACCCAAAACTTACAATTTGTAAAATCTAATCGTTTAGCTACAATACTCCGTGTCGTATGTGGTGAACAACCCTGTATAAAACAGTAGGTTTAGTCGTGTCTGACTAAGTTAAGAAAAAACTACTAAATTTAGTGAGGATGCTGTCAATAATCGCAATACGGGCCAATAAAACTACTTTTCAATTTTTCAAGCTTACAAGAAATGGATTCCTATAACAAAACTACATCCTTTGCAATACAATATTTTTTAACAAAAGAGAACATTAGATGTTTCACCAATATAAAATGTATCACCTTTACATGATATTTTCTATATTACATTTTTTTTGTTTGTTGTTCAGTGTTCAATGGTTTAGTGTAAGTTAAAATGGTTCTAGTGAATCTTCTAGAGACCAAAAACCCAGAAGTCTTTTAAAGAAATAAAGACGCCACAAGGATATAGATATTATACAGGGCGTTTCAAAAAATATGTGTCATTTCTCGTGTGGAAATTGGAAATTCCTCATAGGTCCGATTCTGCTTTATTTTCTTAGCTACAGGGGATTAAAATTTTAATTTTTTTAGCTTTATTATAATTTTCGTCCAAGTGCTTCTTCCTCTAGCTTCGAAACAATTCATAATCGGACCCTATGTGGGTATGAAAAATAAATCTTATTTCTACAAGAGGAAAGCCCATGTTTTTTTAAACACCTTGTACATAGGAATTAATAGATCCACCAATATAAATGTCATAAGAATATTAATTTTGAATTAACGAATGATTAAAGAAGATTATTTTATATTAACTTCATGATTAATTGAAATACACTCACTAGCACGAAAAACAGGCACCTTAAAATTTTGATATTTTAAAGTTTAATATATTTTGTTCTAGTGGGTCGATTTTGATGATTTTTTAAGCAAAATGTAGCTAAATTATTTGACTTTTTAGTATATCTTTCTAAATTGAAAATTAGTTTCGATTTTTTTTTAATTAATTTCGATTACTGGACGTCTAGCATATGAACTTGTCTTGAGAAACCGACTGTACTATACTTCGTGAACACATAAATATATTAGCGACATAATTTTGATCTCTATCATCTTCAATTAAAGCAACTATAGCGGAAACAACTTCTGGACTTAAACCCATCTCTGCGAAAGTAACTGCCCAACAGCCAACAAGCAATAATACTATGATTTTTCAATAGAAGTAACATTACATAAATCATAAACACTGTTATAACTTGCCTTAGGTCATGGTTTTAATATAAAAATACGAAAAAATGTTAGTGTCTTCTTCAAAAGCGAAAATCTCCAAAGAAAAATAAAGCTATTGAGATTAACCAAAATATAAACAATCGAGAAAAGATGCACTTATAGATAATAAAATGATTTTCAAATTCCTTGATTTTTTAACATATTCCACAGGGTGTTCCAAACTTCCCCCAAAATAACAACATGGTGTGTTCCCTTGTATAATTGACAGATGGTAACTTTCATTCTTAATTTAGAAAGAGATACTAAAAAGTCAAATAATTCAGCTTCAAATTGCTTAAAAGATCCTGAAAATCGGTCAACTAGAACACAATATACAGTACAGGGTCCGGCAATAGTGCGTCGGGCATATGTAGCTCCTAGAATAAAAAATTTGGGAATTTTGTTTAAGTGTAAACCTAAAGTATGTACAAGGATGTATTTCAGGAAAATATTTTAACTTCTATAGGGTGGCTCAAAAAAGTGTGAGTGGATCAGGATGTTCATCTCTTAATTCTCCATCTATTGAAAAGATAATATACAGGGTGTTTCGATTAAAAAAAAACGAAGAAAAATTATTTTATATTTTAGAAAGTTTGGCGTAAAATTTTGAACATCCTGTATAATATACGATTACCATATTTATAGCAAAGTAAGTACAGACCATCTAAAGTAAATATCTCATATAGTTTTGATTTCAGGACAGTTTTTGTATCTTTAATAATTTTTTTAAGAAAGGCTGAAAAATATATATTTTTTATTTATTTATGAATATCTCTGAAACTATCGAAATATATTTACTCATATTATCTTAGGATTATGTAAAGTAATCTAAAAAGAAGCCAAAAATGCAATAATATACAGGGTGTTCCATTTAAAAAGAATCGTCCCGATCCACTCACACTTTTTTGAGCCACCCTATAGAAGTTAAAATATTTTCCTGGAATACATCCTAGAACATACTTTAGATTTGAACTTAAACAACATTTCTAAGTTTGTTATTCTAGGAGCTACAGATGCCCGACGCACTATTGCCGGTCCCTGTATATAAAACTTTAAAATACATGAAAATTTTAAGGTACCCGTTTTTCGTGCCGGCGAGTGTAGATTATGAATTAAGCACTGCTTTTTTATTTCTTCTGTTTTCAAAGAATTATTACACTTATTTTTCTCAAATTCAAAAATTATTTTAAAATTAAAAATAAAAAATCTGTTATCAAAAAATATTTGCACTATATTTTTCTCTGTATTTAATAATGAATTTAGAATTAAAACTAAAAACTAAAAGATCTACTTACCAGAATAATATAATAGAAAAAATAGAAGCCTTCTCCCGCGGGTTTTTCTCTCTAGTAATTCTCACGCCTTGGTCCATTTTCCGCAACTCGTAGGTCTGTCAAGCGCTGAAACATTTTTCAAACTAACGTTGCGATGTTCGCGGCGGTACCGTCTGAATTTTCCTGCTAGCGAATATGGATGGTTTATCAGGCGCACCGCCAGATTACGATAACGCACACCCACTTCCTTATATTAACGAAAAAAATTGAATTGATATTTTACCTCAGAGTGATTGTAGACGTTAGTGACGTTAGATTGTTCCAGACTGTTTGCAGACGACCAAGTGATTAGTCGCACCAGACGAGGATACCTTACAAAGGCAGGTTCATCTCCTAGACAAGATAATAACAAAATATCATGGAAAAATATCTACCGAAAAAACAAAAGTGATGGCACACTGGGACAAAGACGGAATCCGCACCAAAATAGTTTTAAGAAATAAACCACTACAGCAAATATCGCACTTCAGCTTCTTGGGATGCCACATAACCTATGATAAAGATAATGACTACATGAAAAAAATAAATAAATTCCAGTCAGTGTGGAACTATCGCTAAAACTTTGAAAAACAATGCACGGCTAGAAACGCAAGTGAGACTATATAATAAATTAGCAGTACCGATAGTATTATACGGAAGTGAAGCCTGGACTACCACAAAAGTTAAAAAACAAAGACTCAGAACAACGGAGATGACGTTTTTAAAAATATTTTTTTTTAAAAACGATGACGATTTTTAAAATATTATTCACAAACTAGGGAGAGGGAAATCAGGCGACGAACAGAGGTGATAGTTGTTAGATAATAGCTTCTAGACTACCACTCGAGACGCATTGATTTTATTTTGGTTCTTGAGTTCTGTGACAAAGAATGTTATTAAAGGTAAAGTAAATGTTTTCTCATTATTTAACTAATGTTAACTTAATCATATTATTTTGTTTTCTTGTTGTAATTCTATTCTAAAGCTTTTTCATTATTCATTTGATCTGACAAAGACAATATATAACATGTGTATGCATTTAATGGAATCTATTTATGCTGTAAATAATTTCAGGTTAAAAGTAATCTAAATAAAATCGTTTACTGATCCTTCGTGCCGATGTTTGTGGTTTGTGAGAATAAGAGGCTTGTAGAGTGTACTAACAATTTTCGACCTTGCATGGGCGAATATCTTAGCTCGCAAAAGGGCAAACAAAAACAATAAATACAATAATTCATAGAATAACTTACAATTTATTAAATTATAAGATATTGGCACCAAACCTTCAACTTTAGCGTCGATTCCGCAACAAGGGACTTCGTACCTACGGGTGGGGACCCGTTAAACTAACAAAAACCTCTTCAGTTTTGAAAGATATAAATGTGGCATGTTTTGAATGTATTAAACTACAAACCTAGGTATGAGGACAGTTTCTATATTATTATTTCTCTTTTATTAAAGTTCAGGACAGCATAGTTAGATTCTCTGGAATAATGATCATGGTTTTCTCTGCCGTGCTGTTTTACATGTGAATTCCAGGCAGAGTACGGCATTCCATTCATTTCATTTAATAAAATAAGTAGGGCTATTTACAAATTTAGCGTTTTATTTACATAACCTATTCTCCTCAAATTTCCCAAAATATTGCTTTGTCGAGGCGCATCCGACGTAATCACAATAAAAAAATATTTAACACAACGTAGGTTCCTTTCTTTCATTTAAATTGTTTGTTATACAGTTGGTCAAAATATTACCTCTTCAACTTTGTTGACGAATTTGGGTTGTTACACTACAATAGAGAAGACAGAATAAGAAATGGCACAATAAGAAATGAACTAAAAATACAACCATTAGAAGAAAAAGTAAGAGTATATAAAAACAAATGGAAGGAACATGTAGAAAGAATGCCAGATGATAAAATTGCACAAAAAATGCTACGATATCAACCTCCAGGAAGGAGAAGTATTGGACGACCAATACAGAGATGGTGAAGCGGAACAGGTTTTTAAACCTAAACCGAAAATTATAGAACTACTATGCCCCCTTTCTTCAGTTATAACTCATCATACAGACTCAGAGCTTAGACAAAAACCAGTAACTGAGACGGTTTTACAGAGGTTAGTTCTCTAACTCTGATGGCATCAGTCGTACCGAAATTCATGGCAGGAATGGTTGTCGTCTCGGCGCACTCAGTGATAAAGTGTTCTGGTGTTTCCCCATTTTCCCCACAGAATCCGTTGTTTCTTAGCCTCAATCGAGCGAAGACGCTACTATACAGGATGTTTCAAACAACATGTGCCATCCCCTTGTGGGGAGATTCCTCACCTAAAAAAAATTATTTTTCATATCAACATAGGTCTGATTCTGCTTTGTTACGTAGCTACAGGGTGTTATAGTCTTAATAATCTTTCGATTTATTATAATTTTCTTCCAAGCACTTTTAGTGATTCGAATGAAATTTTGAGTCTAAAAGTTACTATAAGTGCTACCGAGGGGTAAACCGCAGAGGAATTATGGTGTACACTATGAAGGAATTCTACAGGAATTCCAAGGAATTACGAGGAATTCCAAGGAATTCTACAGGAATTCCAAGGAATTACGAGAAATTCCAAGGAATTCCACAGGAATTACTAGGAATTCCAATTATTTCCGTAAGAATTCCAAGGAATTCCTTAGAAATTTAGAGGAATTCCACAGGAATTAAGAGGAATTACAAGCAACTTTATAAAAAATTAACGAACATTAGTAAACCATGAATACTATAATAGGTAGTACTAAATTTAAAGAAAAACGTTTTGCAGGCGATTTTTTACTATCCGTTTTTCGTTTTCGCTTCCAAAATTTCCCAATATCAAATATCTACAGGTTAGATATTCTTTTAATTTAATATTGTACCCTCGATTATATATCTAAAATATTTTCCAATAGTACGGCCGAACCACCCCCGAGAGATCTACTTATAACGTTCCCTGATTTCGCCATTTTAAAGAAACCCTCATAAGATTTTTTTATTCAGTACTCCAGAAAGTGTAAAGTTGATTTTTTCATTTCCTCGGAATAATACCTAGGTATATACTATAGGGAAATTAATACAACTTTAGGTGCACTTCATCAATGATACCATGCGTAATCTTATGGAATTTACTGGTGATCGTATTATGACGCGCAACTGAAGTTTTATTAATTTCCTTTCCTATAGATACGAGTATAACTAGGTACCTATCATTTTCAAAAAATCCCGAGAAAAATTAATTTTAATAAGTAAGTGCCGACATATTTTCAGTATTTTTACCTCATTATCCCCTATTAGTCCTAAAATTTAACTAAAAAAACGTAAATCTCGTAATAGTACTTTTTATTGTTAGATACTTACTTATAGAGACATTAGACATTTATAAAAATCACCAGAAAATTCATAGCGGAACTGCGAAATCGAGGTGGCAACGCTGGTTCAGACTGAAAGAGTTACCGAGTTCGTACCAAGGAATTCCAAGGAAGACCTTGAATGATTGACCTTGACCTTGAAGACCAGGAATTCCAAGGAATTCCGAAGGAATTACGAGGAATTCTGAGGAATTATTTGAGTAAAAGGAATTATGGTGTACACTTTTCCCTCTGCGGTTTAACCCTCGAGTGCTACATATTTTAACGCTAAAAAATTGTCGATAAATTTATCAGAGACGTGCATATGGGTAATGGCTGGAATATTTTTCATAAAAAAAAAACATTGCGCCAATTTTAAGTTATATATTTTAACTAATTTATTATTAAATATTATTACTATTAGTTATTATTACTTGGTTGGACTAATACAACCTACAGCAATTTTAAATAACAAGATAATGGAATTTAAGATAATTACAAAAAAAACATAATTTTAAAAAGTTTTAACATCCTGTATCTCTAAAACTATGCATTGGCATACCCATATTTACAGGAACTGTTTTTCATATTTTTTGATGAGGAATCAATGAGTACTTATTTAAAACTTTCGCAAGTTAATGATATTATTTTTTTTTAAAGGTTGCTATTAGGCTTGGATCAAGGCAAATTAATGAAATTCCGTTTATCTCATCAAGGAGGCCAAAATCGACAAAATATCGAAAGACGACTTTTCATCGGCTTTAAACTGCTTACACTATTTCGCTAACAAGGGAAAAAAAGTCAGTGAGGTACATGCTTTTTTTAGAAAAATATTCCAGTGATAACTCATATGCACGTCCCGGGTGAATATGTCCACACTTTTTTAGCTTTAAAATGTGTCGCATTTATACTAACTTTTACCCTCAAACTTTCTTTCGAAACGTTAAAAGTACTTGGAAGAAAATTTAAATAAGTCGAAAAAAGATTAAGAATTTAACACCCTGTCGCTACGAAACAAAGCAGAATCGGACGGACCTATACATATATGCCTATGTTGATATGAAAAATAAATCTTGTTTTAACCTGAGGAATGTCTCCACGAGAGATGAGACATGTTTTTTGAAGCATCCTGTATATTTCTGTAGTTTAAAAACGGTATAAGGAGGCGGGGCAAAAGTCTACAAATTGGGCAGAACCGGATTAGGTAAAACTTAACAAATAATAAAAGCAAACAAATGATCAAAATTTGCTTTGAGCTAATGTAATATCATTATCTATTAACCGTGTGCATGGCAATGAACAAAATACTGGGCACACACACACATACAACACCAAACTTAAAATAAGCATAAAATACTAATTAATGTTCAGTCGTTAATTCGGTCATTACGGACCTGTCCAGTATTTATCCTGTCCAGTGAAATATTGACCTTTCCTGCTCCTACAACTGCGTACAACACACCATCGCTTTTTTTTAATAAAAAAACAGTGAAATTATCGATGAAAAACATTTAATTTAGAAGAAAATCAAACGGAAAAATTCCCAAAGCACAAATGACACAAAACTAAGATCAATATGGCCGGCTGATATCGTTTTTGCAACAGCTGTAGCTCCTTTCTCCTCTTATTACTCTGTGGCGGGCGCCCAGAGTAGAAGGACTTTATTTTCTTTACGTAATTTTTTCAGCTTCTCTAGGTATTCTTTGACCAACTTCGAATTGATTGTTACTGAGTTGATCGATCTTAAGGCTGCTTGACTATCGGATAAGACGGCATATTTTTTGTTTC